GCCCTGCTCCTGCTGCTGCCATCGGAGGGGAGCCCCCTTTAAGCCCGCTCCGCGGAAACGGGAGCCCACCGAGCCCTCGCTCTGCAGGCCCCCAAGCTTGGCGGCAGCGGCCTTGGCGCGCCCCACGCGCGAGGGCGAGCAGACCGGCCGGGGCGCGGGAGGCGCGGCCGCACCCTTTCGGGGCAGCGCGTGCACGGGCTTCGCCCGAGGCAGCGCCGGCCCCGGGCAGAGCTCCTGCCAAAGTGAAGAACGACCGAAAAAATCTGTCTCCGAGGCTGAAAAGCAAGGGAAACAGATCCCCAAAGCCTGACCTTGTAAAGTTATTGAAAGTATGCGGAGCTGCGGGATGCAGTTAATGAAACTGCCCTTGAAAGGCAATGTTTCCACGCAGAAAAGATAAAAACAGTTTCACAACCCACTGTCTAACGCGTGCTAGAGTGGAACCGCATCCCCTGCGTGAGCAGGAGAGGGCAAACCCGGCAGAAGTTTCCGGAGAGAACTAAGCTGATCAGAGTGCCAGGTAGACAGCAGCTTTCATCGGGAACCGCAGGCAGTCCCGAGGAAGAGTGCAAACTCACCGCGACCCTTAGAACCTCGGCGAGTCCGTACCCAGGGGTCCCTGCCAACGTAGGCATAAGATGGGTGGGTTGTGTGGGAGGAGAGGGGTGGTAGGTGGGCTTGCAGGCAGTTGTGTCTGCAGCTTAAAATATGGGGCAAGGGGTGGACAGAGATGAACCGTGACCTGTATGTGTCTCTGCTGCGGATAGGTAGTTGGTGTACTGAAGCGGGCCCGGGAACTCGGCAGAAGTAGTGGACACGGTGGTGGACAGAGTGTCTTCCTAGCCCGGTTTAGGGAAAATACTGGAGTGAGTATTGGGAGTACTGGCAGACCGCGTATGTGACCCTGTCTAGTTACATGGCCAAAGCTGTGAGGCAGTTAAGTTTCTCTTCTGGGTCTTTGGAAGGAGACACTGTACTGGGCGTGTCGGGAGGTCATTTCACCAGAGACCCACAGACGCTGAGCTCCACCTGTCCGCAGAGACAGAAGAATGACAAAGATGGGTCCGGAAGCAATTTAAACCCAGATTTCCAGTCCCTGGGGTTCACTTTGCCCAAGGTTCCATTGCAAGATTAACCTGGTAATCTTTAAAAAGTTCCCCCTTTTTATTTAAGGTTCTTTTCTTTGAAACCCAAATTTTATTTACTTTTATCATTCCAGGTTATTTTTTGTTCCAAATACAATTCAAAATAAGAACTTGGGATCCGTTCTGCAGACAGTGATTTCAATCGCTGTGTTTTTATTATTAATGGGCAAACTTTTTAAATGGCTAGAAATTAGTTTTAAGAGAAACAAGTCTGCACTTTAATGGTTTTGGAGCAGACACAGACTTTTCAACTAAGTGAGTGAGAGTGTTCGAATCAATGTGGAAAATC